GGAGAATTTAAGGGAGATGGAGGCGCCGGCGGAGAAGGAAGAGAGGGATGAGGCAAAGGGTTAGATTGAGAAAGAGACATACAAATGCGCTCACAGCTCTACAGAGATGCTCAAAACGAGTGGATGTAACGCGCATTTAGAGGAGAACAGGCTGCACGTTTAATCCCCCCAAACCCGGTTCGGTTTCCCCAAACCGGGGAAAGTTCGTTTGTCTTCATCCACGCGCCTCATTTTTTCTTTCTTTTTTTTCTTTTAAATAATTCTCTGAATTTCAATCCTTTTCATTTATTTTATAAAAAAATATTAATTCTGAATAATTTTTTAATAAATTCAATAATATATAAAATATAATTTCTTACCATTACAATATAGTTTTACGTTATTTATATATAAAAATCGTCTACGTCATAAAGAAGAATTTTTTTTAAAAAAGGATTGGAATAATTGAATCAAAATGTAATTAAAATAATACGAATAAAAAATTGGACGAGTTGTATTGTGACAAGACGACATTTGAGGTCGTATTATAATAATAATAATAATAATAATAATAATAATAATAATAATAATAATGGCTTAAAAATGATATTATTTTAAGAATTAAAATTAAATGGTGGCAGATTGGAGATCACGATGAAAAATATTAAAGAAATACGTAGGGATCATAAAGATAAAGGATCCTTTATTTGCTCAGTTAAAAAAAATGGAAAAAAAATCATTTATTTCTTTTTAATAATTATATAATTCGGGGAAATGAATTTGGTCGCTTCTGCGGATTAAATCCATTCAATGGATGGACTTCACTCCACAGTGTTTTTTTTTAAAATAAATAATAGACTAAATTAATAAAAATATATATATATATCTAAAAAATTTGTATTTTTTTTCTAATAAATATTCTTTTAAGGTTTTAAAATTTCAATAGTATTCTTAAATTAAAAAAATGTAATCAGGAGTAGTTTAAAACTTTTTTTAAAAAATTAAAAGTAAAATTAATTTAAGTTTTTAATAAAATTTAAAAATATTAATGAAATTTTTGAAAATTCAAGATAATTTTTAAACATTTTGAAAAATCAAATGACATTTAAAAAAAAAAAAATTAGAATTTTTTATAAAATTTTTAAAATTTAAGGGTATTTTTAGGATATTTTATAATTTAAGTTAAATAATATATTAAATTAATTGATTTGGATAAATTTTTCTAACTAAATGATCAAAATTAAAAATATAAAAAAATTAAAATATTATAAAATTAAAAGAACAGTGAAACCGGGAAACCGCTGAAACGGTAAACGTGGGGGAAATGGGTTAGGTGAAGGGGGCGGCGTGGCGATACGAAATCGGGAATATAAAAGGTGACACGTCAACACAATTACCATGTCTTTATGAGTCGGCAGCGCCTCGTCACCGCTCGTTTTTCGTCTCTGTGGGCCCCACTTCTCTTCTCCCTTTGACTTCCACGTTTCTCTTCGTTCTCCGCGCCGATTCGCAGTTCCCTTTTTTTTTTTGCTGCCGCGGTTTTCCTGATTTCAATAACGATACTCTTCCACGCGCTGCTTCCCTCGCGTGTTCTTCAAACTCCACCCATCCTCTCCCTTTTTTTAAATTAAGATTTTATTTCCGTTGAATTCTCGCTACGGCGTCGTTTTTTAACAAAAAAAAAAAAAAAAAGTTTTAAAAAGAAAGAGGAAAAAATTAAGGGTTTAAATTCGCTTGGTCCCATTGGAATTATTCTATTTTATAATTCATAATTTTATTTTCTCCTACTTCTTAAATTAAAATTTTCTTTTATTCTCATAGAATTAATAATTTTTACTTTTATCTATTATTTTATATAGTTTTTTAAAATTAAAAAAAATACGAACTCAAATATTTATTTAAGAATTAATGAAAGAAACCAAACATAATTTTTATTTTAAAAAAATTAACAACAAAAATCAAATAATTATCTAAATTTTTTATTATTATTTTCATGAAAACTAAATTTATAAACACTACGTTTTATTTACTTTACAAAAAATCAAAACTCGTCAAAATAAAAAATATGAAATGGACTTTGGGATTTTATTTATTTATTTATTTTGTAAATTTCACAACGAAAGTAAAAGGAATAATATTAAATATAAAAAAAATAATAAAAGGCATAAATTCGAATTAGTGTAATATTGTAAGGAAAGTAAAGGAAAAGAAAATAAATTGAATTATTTTTATTTAAAAAAGAAAAAAAAAAGTTTGATATTTTTGGAAAGGAGCGATGTTTACCAAGAAATTAAAGAGTGGAGGTGAGAAAGCCAACCCATACCTCATCTTCACCACTATCTTTACCTTTTCCATTTATTTTTTAAATTTATTATTTACTATAAATTTAATTTCTCTCCATAAAATTTAATTTTATATCTAATAAAATTATTTATAAATTTTTTTATATAAAATTACTAGAGACCCAAAATATTAAAATTTAAAGAATAAATAGAACGAAATTATTTTAAATGTAACAAATAATTTTTTAAAAAATGTAATAATATTTTGATTGAAAATCTTCTTACCAAGTAATTAAATTAGAAGGTATTTCTAATGGAATCACTTTTCATATATATATATATTTTATATTTTTAATAAATCTGAAATAGCTCCTAATACCAAATAAAAAACTTGGGATATTTTTTTTTCTTAAAATAAAATATTATAGAAGGCTATATATAGATATATATATATATATATATAGTGTATTTTTTTTTCTTCAAATAAATTATTATGGAGTGCTGCGGCATCGGAATATGTACAAAATATTCCTGTGGAATCTCAGGCGCACGTGCCAATGGCACGCCAACCAACTCTAGTCCTACGTTATGATTTTTTTATTATTATTATTTTTTTCTCATAAATTTATTTTTATTTTGGCAATTTTTCGTTTGAGTTGGTTTTATTTGGTATTTTAAGTTTGAAATTTAAAAAATGATTTCAAATGGTGGAGTTTTAAAATTTCCAAAACTAAAAAATGTTTATTCCGAACTTTCTGGATTAAATAATCATTAATATCAGCCGTCATAGACAAAATAATGTATTTTTCTTTTGTATTTTTTTAATTAATAATTTAATAACTTTGCAACCGAAAAAAATCATTATTTTTAATAAAATGAATCGTTTATGGATTCTAGCCCTTCTAACCCGTAGCTATCTTAGTCCCTCGAGATCAACAACGGCTCTATTATTGCACATGTTTCATCTTGAATTAGATCAAATCTTTATCCTAAAAACCTCGTTCGGATTAAACCTTATTTAGTGTAGCAAATGTTCTACATCAATAGGTCATGAAAATTTATCAAATAATTTAAAATTATTGATAATTTATCTCTATTCTTAAAAAAGTCTCGTTCCTGACTCGTTTTTGTAAACATCTCTTTTCATAACGAAGTATTGTAATCTTTACCCGTGTAATCTTGAAATAGTTTAAAAGATAAAGTTACCATGTAATCTTTACACGTGCTAACACTGGATGAATTCTATAATATTTTAATCTTAAATTCTTTGTTCTTTTGTTTTTTGTCGGCCAATGGCGTAGAGGTAAGTGGAGAGCAGCCATAGTTGGTTTGCAAAAGCTCTCTTGGACAGTACAGTTGATCAAAAGTAAACAGAGAAAAACACCCCATGTCGTTACAATGTTGCCACTTCACAAAAAAAAAAAAAAAAAAAAAAAAACAAAAAAACAAAAAGACAAAATGTGGTATATTCTTTGTTTATACTATATTATATTCCCCCTTATCCACACACACACACAACACATACATATCGATTATGGTTAATATGATTAAACTCAAACTCATTAAAAGAAACAGAGCCAAAGTCTCAATAGTCGTATATAAGTAGAAATAAGATCAGCCTAAATGTTCACAACCCACATAAGCTTTTTGATTTTACGGAAACTGCACCTAAGAGTAAACCCTAGTGAGCCGTCTCACGCAGATAACTTACTAAGTTTGGTTTCAATCGAGTCGAGCACAAGTCTTCTTTCTAGATTTTGTTATTGTGCCAAGTACGGATATGACAATAGGACGATGAAGAAATATTTGTTCTTATCTCACTACAGAAGAATGTAAAAATATTGTAGCTAAAATATAAGTTATAATCAACCGGGACAAAAATTTACCATTTGAAAAGTTTTGAAAGTAAAATAAAATGTAGAAAAGAATTGCACCATGATATTTAGTCCAAAAGAAATATCTCAGCCCCCAATCACATGTAGAGTAGAGAGAGGAAAGGGGAAGAGTGAGTGAGTGGTGGTTTCGGGATAGAACATAGTAAGGAGCCATAGTGGAAAAGTGATGGCAGATAAAGAACGTACGTTTAGTTTTACGTCAAAATAGACATTTTAAAACTACATAGACTAAAACGAACAAAAGTTGAAAGTACATGAACCAAAATAAACTAAAGTAGAATTTCTATCGTCTTTCAAGTACTTGCAAAACACTTTTGGATTGAAAGAGAAATGAACATTCTACGCAAAAACATGAATAACTAGATTTCACATACGTTGAATGAAGTTTGTCCTTTATAACCTCACATCTCGTGTCAGAATTTGAAGAACTTTAAAAGACCGTAGTAGGAAACTTCAACCTCAGATCCTATTTGGTCGAGGGTATATGCTTGAGTCAGATGTATTTGTTGTTCCTTTATAACCTCGTACAAATGAATCGACATGAGACTCTGACACGTATAAAGAACCTTAAAACCCTCGACCAACTATGATCCGCCTCATGGCATCACTCAAAAATTCAAGTTTCTCAAATCAAGAAACCAACTAAATAAGTTTTCAAAAAGCTCATTTACCAAAAATAGTTCTTAAAACACAGAAAATATGGCCAACCTCTCATTGTCACATCCAACAAGGATAAGAAGTCCAAAGCCACACAACCACTAGATTCTGAGATATGTTAGCTTTATATGATCTGATTGAACTCTCTTCTCCTCCGCTCACACTTGACGTGCATAACTCATAAATCTTTGCTAAGATATATATCTTTATTCCACAAAGAAAACAAGTTAATTCACAAATCATGTCAAGAAAAGAGTTCCAAATATTACAGTTTCTAGTTTACTATCTCGACTAAAGTTACGGCAGCGAAGACGAGAAAAAGAACACCTCCAACATATGCAATAATCTGCAAATAAAACGGTTTATGTTAGTATAAGAACTTCCTTTGTTTACGTAAGTTCCAGGAATAAGAATATTCTCCAGTTTTGAGATAAAGACAGGCAACTTGAGTTAGAAGCACAGTAGGTGGGCCTAGACTTGTTATTAATAGTTGCAAGTTAGGAAGACTGAGAAGCATAGAACTTTCTTGTTCCAGAAATTTGTAGCGTTCCACTACTAATGGATGGAACCTTTCTAAAGCATATATGGAAGGATGCTGTTAAATTGCACATCTATTATGCTAAATGACACTCGGTAGCTTGGACGGTGGAAAAATTAAGATTTATTGGCTGGATTATGTGCATGTAGAGTGGTTCAAGATAAGCCCATTTGGGTAACATAATTCTCGACTGGCGAAGAGAACATACCCACTGACAGCATCAAGAAAATAAGAAAAGATCATGTGCTTGAATATAAGAAGAGACACTACAATGGGCTACTAGGAAGGAACTATTTGCATTCATGTGATTGTGAGATCCCACATCGGTTGGGGAGGGGAACGAAGCATTCCTTATAAGGATGTGGAAACCTCTCCCTAGTAAACACGTTTTAAAAACCTCGAGGAGAAACTCGAAAAGGAAAGCCCAAAAAGGACGATATCTGCTAGCGGTGGGCTTGGACTGTTACGAATGATATCAGAGCTAGAGACCGGGCGGTGTGCCAGCAAGGACGCTGAGCCTTCAAGGGGGTTGGATTGTAAGATCCCACATCGGTTACAGAGGGAAATGAAGCATTCCTTATAAGGGTGTGAAAACCTCTCCCTAATAGACGCGTTTTAAAAACTTTGAGGGGAATCCCGAAAGGAAAAGCCCAAAAAGAACAATATCCGCTAGTGGTGGGCTTAGACTGTTACAATGATTGCTTTGCTTTGGAATTCTGGCGGGGAAGAAAGAATACAGTTACAATAAAAATAGGATATATCCAGATTCCAGAAGGAAAAGATAACAAAGGATAAGTGCTTCATTGATATTCTATTCTTTTTCATATTTGGCTGGGAGCTCGGGAGGAAGAGATTTAGAGGAAGCAAATGGGATTTCAAACAATAATTACTTCGAATTATTTCCCTCCCTTTTATGGAGACATAAGACTACTTTTTAGGACATTCAAAAGAGAAGTTCGACGAATAATTTTTCACTGATTATCCTTTCCTCCTAAACTTGTGTCAATAATTGAAAAGCTAAAGAAATATTTTACTCCTACAAAACCCCTAAATTTACTTTATTGAAAAAGTAATCATGTAAGGATCAATTCTCTCTTTTTTTTTTTCTTTTGGGGGGAATACTGATCTAAATACAGCCGCCCC